ATTTGAGGAAACGAAAGAGAAACAGCAGGAAGTATCACATAGCACTAAATTCATATTAATTGATAATTGCCTAAATGTTTCCTTTTATTTTTTATCTCATCTCGATAAACTGGGGCAAAGAGTGGACGGAGGCGACTTTCCCAAACGTCGATTTCGAGACTGATGATCACGATTGCCTCAAACCTTTAATAGGGGAGGTAAAATTAACTCCCAGTTTCACTTTCCCACCCTATGTGAGATGGATACTGAAAGTGGCTTTGAGTGGATCGAAACTATAGTCCCTCGTGGATTCAGAAACCACATAATACAGGTCTGTTTTTTTTTTCTTTTTTTTAATATCAATTTTTCGTTTGTCCGAAATAGATGGATTCTGGAGACGGCGAATCCTTGCCTCCCAGTCTTCGTATTTGTTTTTCTCATCTCGGCACCCCCAGTCGCCAGCCGCGATCGTTCCTTCTAAGTCGAAGCCACGAATTCAGACCATTAAGTGGCTCTTCTGGGCAAAAATGAGCATCCGAGACGAGGGAGACCGACCTTGCCTCCCCCATTTTTAAAGGTCGAGTCTTTTTTAAAGGTCGAGTCCGATCCGGGTATCGGCGATGAAAACGAGGCGTGGAAAGTCGCCCCTCTCCTCTCTCGCCCCGACCGTGTGTCAAGGTCAAATCACATCTTGTGATTCTTGTCGATCGGAATGCGGCGGCGGGATTCCCCCGGGGCGAAAGTGGAAATAACCACCGTAGAAACCAGACAGAACTCCCTGCCTGCGAAACGGCTCTTCGATCGGATCTTCACCCACGAGACGCAAAAGAAGCAAAGCCAAGAACAGGAAATAAACGAAGGCTCGTTTTCTCATGACTGCGTCAGAACGATAAACATGGAAGAGATAGGAATGCGGCACGGAACGGCACGGCAATGAATTCCTCGCATATCGTCGCGATACGATCATCCAGGTCGCATTCTTGCATTTTGTTCCCCCCATTCGGCGCGCATGACCCAACGCTTTTGTCGGTAAATCGCGACATTTCGCCCTCGACGGTGTCTGAGATCGCATTCAAGAAACGATTACCTCCAGCGCCTAAAGCTTAGAGTTTGCCGTGGCTCCTCCTAGCGGCGAGGAGGAGACCCCACGAGACCCCACTGTGGAACTTATACGTGATTTTACGCCATGCGTCCAGCTCCGTCCATCGCACCAAGAGAAACACGGTCCTTTTTTTAATATTTAATAATGAATGTTTGAATGCATGACGGAATGCCTCCTCTTTCTCTCCCCAAACGCGAAGGATCGATGAGGACATCCATCGATCGAGAACCCGAACGGCGTCGTCGAACACCGGCACGCGAGACCGCACGAGACCTTCTCGAAGGAGGCTCGTGGAGTCGGATCCGCCGTGCTCGAAGTCGCGAGTCCCAGTCGAGAGCCGACCGTGGTGACGCGAGCACCTCGCTGCGACACTCGGCACCTCGCCTGCTGAGTGTCGCAGCTGCAGCGATCGACAGATCCGCGTGGCGAGGGATACGAACGGCGTTTGCAGTGTCGACGAACGGTGTCTACGTTCTCTCGTGCTCGTGCGGTCGTCATTTCGGTCTACTTGTTCGTCGGAGCGGCATTTCGACGCCGTGTCGACCGCGATCGATGGACTGGAACCCTGGAAATACCCGACCCTCGCACGGTCTCTCTTCGATTCTCCTTCATTCGAAGGCTTAGAGATGATTTATTTATTTATTTCATTTTGATGCGGAAAGCCTTCGTGCGTCGGCATCTGTCCCGCGTATGAAATTAGTGAAAGGGTGAAGTGAAGTGTGAAGCTCGAGTGTGAAGCTGCTTGGAAACGAATTCGTGGGATATCGGAACGCTTTTTTTCCCAGCTATTATCTCGAATGCGCGAAAATTTTACGAGTTTCGGCGCTTTCCCACGCCGCGAGGCTAATCGCACGCCTACATTTACTCGCTTTCCGTGCCATAAAATCGGACTTCCGTGTGCCCAGGCACGTGTCCGATTTTTTTCTCGCATCACCGTTCAGAAGTCGATGGGTCGATTTGATGCCGAGCTTCAGTCGCGGAATATTTTCCCCGGAGAGGAAATTTCTGGGATTCCAACATAACGAAAACGGACTAATTAAAACTAATTAAGTCCCAGGCGAAAACTGGAATCCCCCAGAAAAATGAGAGCATCGAGAAACCGAACTCGATCGAAACGCAAGACATCCGCCCGATCCATCATCCGACCCACAGATTTTCTGAGAAAAAGTAAACAATTCTAAAAAAAAAAAAAAAAAAAGCCGTCCCTCGCTGACCGTAGACTGCAATGCGGGCCTGAGAAATTGGACGTGGCATCATTCGGAGCGGCGTCCCTTTCTCTCTTCCTTCCCATGCACTTTCGCTTGGATGTTTGAGTGGAGGCAGAGGGTCCAAAGTGGGACTGTCCTCTCTCTCTCTCGCTCTCTCCTCTCGCTCTCGTTCTGTGCATTGGGAAGAGTGATTCCTAATCGCGGAAGGGAATGGGAGGGAGAAGTGCCGTTGGACTGTGAGTCGCGTTCTTCCGTCCGTTATCGTCCATTCGCCTCTCCGCCGCTATCCGTCGCTGCCGGGGCCCTCGCGCTTCATCGTCGACCGGCGCCGTCACTAACGTGGGGATGACGAGGATCGCACTTTGCTCCGTGCGAACAAGTCCAGACATTCCAAGTGTATTCTACGTGAAACTCGGAGCGTTTCCTGCGAAAGGCATCGTTTTCCACCTGACCGAGTGACATTACCGAAGGAACTCGAGTCAGGGTCGTTACGCACCAATGCTAATCTTGCGTCATCTTGCGCTACGTGTGTGAAGCACGTGAGTCAGTTGGCAGTCATTTTCTCAACTCGAACCGTGAAATCACTCTCGACTCGAACTTTACGTTTCTCAGTTTTAAACGCATCGCCGAGTTTAATCCTGTACGATAACAAATACTAAGAACTTTCGTTGGCCGAAGCGTCGTCTCCCGCTATTTTATTATTTTGCCTTTTAACTTTTTCGAAGCTTTGAGCTGTTTCTCGAAACGTCCAGAGCAAGGGTGAGCCATATCCAAACCCACTCGTCGATTTCGATCGACGAAACCTTCGTCCTCGTTTGCGAACGACGCATTTCACAATTTGCTTACGACAGACGCACGCATACGAAAGCCGCCCTGTTACGAGCGGGCAGATAACGACCAAGAAATGTGTGCGGGCGATTGAAGTGTGTCAGGGCTGAGGCCACCGAGCAGACTCGTGACGTCACCGCCCATCCACCCCAGCCGCGTCGAAGCCTCTTCCAGTCTCCGCCTCGGGAAAGAGGATCGTCTCATCCCCGCAAAGCCTCCCCCCGAGTCAGTGACCGTCGAGAGCGGGACGCACCCGCATCCCCATTGCATCGTCTCGTCTCGATTCCCTCTCGTGGCAGAAGCTCGGCACTCGGCCCACATCGATGAGGCCTCTCGTCCCGCTTTCCGCCTTAAAGCGGTTTCCTCGTTCGTGGTTGCACGTGCCGAGAGTGGTGAAATGTTGCCGATCGTGTTCCGGTCTCGCATTTCTGTCGCCGCCATCGATTCGTTCCGTGCGAGAACGTGATTAGGGAAAATTCGTTTTGCGTTTGTGGCTTCACGTGAAGTCGGTTCCCGTCCCCGGGTAGGTGATTCCTGGTTCCTGGTTCCTGGTTCCTGTCTTATTTTTCGATCCACCGACTGCATGATTTTGCGGTCGACGAGAAGACTCAGTCCCAGTTGGGATCGAGCTTCAAAATATATCAGATGTCTGTGCCTTGCACATCGTGTCAACATTCCCCTACCATCGAACTTATTATGGTGGCGTCTGTTGCTAGGGAGCTCGGATGGGGAGCAGGCGATCCCTGCCCCCCAGACCAGCCAAACCGACCCGGCGGTGCCCCGAGTCGGTTTTCCTATCGGCTACCGAGAGCACCTGTAGTCTCCTATTTAGTCGATAGTACATCGCATGAAAGTGACACCAGCAACGCTCAAACGAGCGACCAGGGACAAGGCTCGCCCTCGAGGGTGCGTCAAGGTCAAGGACAAGGCCCGGAACGACAAAAGATCCACCCGGCAGTCCGGTTTTCCCCCCAACTCCTTGCCGCCTCGAGGATCACGGCGGGTCAAGGCGCGAACCTCGTTCATCCCTTCGCGATTCCACTCCTCCGGATGTTGCGTGAAGAAAAAGCCTCGTGGCCATGGAACGGCGTCCGATCGAGGAAACCGCATCATTTTTCTCTCGTTACATCCAGTCGTAATTCGTTGCGTCAATTCCCCCTTTCTCACCTGTCTCAAGGATTTTCCCCTGGATTCTCTCCCCCTTTCGCCATTCGAAGCCCCTTGACCCACTTGCCATACTTTGACTCGCAGTCTTTTTTTTTTTTTTTTTTTTAGCCGTACGACACTTTCTGCGGGTGTCATCCCGACCCCAGGGGGTTTCTTCGCGTTAATCTTTTTCTTCGTCCTTGTGGGATGTCCTTTCTGAGAGAAATATCCTTCGAAACGGCTGGAAAAGCAGGGGAAATCTCAAGTAGGGACTCAGCCTCGAGCTTGAGTCGAAGGGTTGGAAGGAAATTCATTTTTACTCCAAGGCACGAAATCGGGGGGGGGGGGGGGGCTTTGCACGGAGCAAAGTGCGATCCTCGTCATCCCCACGTTAGTGACGGCGCCGGTCGACGATGAAGCGCGAGGGCCCCGGCAGCGACGGATAGCGGCGGAGAGGCGAATGGACGATAACGGACGGAAGAAGGAAACGTTGCGTGATATGCATGAGAAGAGTTCTGCAGGTTTAATAATTCTTCCCTCCCCATGGCTTCTCAGATGTACTAGGATTGTAGACGGGGGAACGGTGGACCTTGAGACTTCCGCCTTTTTCATTGCCAGTCTGACCCATGAACCCTATCGGCCGAGGCTCCAAACAACTTCCGACAGGCTTATCAACGCCGTATTTCGTCATCTTCCCCTTTACATTAGGCGATAAGCCCGGCTACCGGGATTGCAAGGTTGACGATGCAAAGAACGTCATTAACGCGATGTGTCCTTGTTCATTTCTTAGAATCGTTTCGGCTGGGTCTTGGCAAGTGTACCCTTTCCCCCGCCCCCTTGCCCCCCCCGCCCCATTGCCCCCTCCCCCGCCCCCTTGCCCCCTCCCCTCAAATTTTCCACGCTACTGCTCTCATGCCCGTGCATGTAAAATGGGGACGATTTGCATCGCCGCGCATCTCTGTGAAAAAATGCACATCCACGATACACTTCAAGGGCATGTTGCCACGTAAGGTTGAGTGCTTGGCAGTAGTCCATTCTTGGGATAGACCTTGGACACATGTCGGAGAGAGCTGCCAGGCAGTAATCCCTCTCCCAGTCCTCTTCATCTTGAGTCATTTTCGTTGTTCCAAGATAAGCGTAGTAACCTGCTGTCTTTATCTCGACCGTATCCAGTCATTCCTCCCTCGCCTTCCAGTCGATATTGGAGCATCCAGCGAGAATACCAGAGTGCCCATACCGAGTGTTTCCCAGCTCAGTGGTCCCCTAGCGCAGTGGTCCCTTAGCGCAGTGGTCTCCCGAGTGGATCCCATGAGCGTCACGGGTGTGAGTGTGGAGGCGCACCAGTTGGTGACAGTCGTGCCGAGACGCACGGGCTCGGGGGGGCATCCGCTGGTGACGAGCCTGGAGAGGAGCGTGGGTGCAATGCCCCCTACCTACGCCAACTGCTCCTCCCTCAACAACTACATTCCCGACACCGAAGAAATCATCGAAGGTAAACTCGAACCCTCGCGAACCCTCGCCAACGTTCGTTTTAATAGGCCGATGTTGCATCGAATGTGGTGGTCTCTTACGTGCGAGATAACGGTATTTGACCTAAGATTAAATTTAATCTTAGAAGGGAGGAGATTTTCATCGTAACTTTTAGTGAGAATATATACCTGGCAGCACAGGCTGAAAGCGGTCGGGTAGAAAGATGGAATATCCTCACCTCCATCCCAGTCCCACCACCGGCACCTGCAACTTCTGCATTCCCTCCTGTATCTCCTGACATCCGCTTCCACGGGAGAGCGCTTCGTCGATTCATAGGTAGAATGTGTTGCTTGTGGCAGCGTTGGGGAGCGGGGGAGTGTCGCTGTACGCCGTGTGTGCCCTGGTCTGGGTCTTCCTCCTCCTCATTTACGTGGAGGAGACCCTGTATCTTCTGAAGAGGCTACCCGCCGACCAGAAGAGCCCCACCCTCTTCGTCTTGGCTGCCTATCCGGTACGTTCACTATTCTGTTTCATCCATTTTTTTTTTATTCTCTGCATCCAAGGCGTGGAATGAGGATTGCCAACTCTCGGGCACGATCGAGAGGCTTCCTGGTTCTTCGACGGGGATCTCCCCATCAAATCGGTGGAGATGGGAAACATCCGTGGCCCAAAAGGGGGAAGGGTGCAACGACAACGGTTGTTGCACATCCCCCTCAGAACCAAATTTTTATGTAATGGATTTAGAACGTACAAAATATGCCAAAAACTGCTGACGATATACTTCCTTAGGACCATATTGTCGCTTGATACGTAAAACTACTCTTCCACAAATTTCTTTAGGCAATGCTAGTCGCAGTTTCTCGTTACCATTCACTTTGGAAATAAGTCATGTCTGGAAAGGCTTCTCAGATCAGCGTTTTTGGAATGTCGTCGAGAGTATATACTTTGATAAGTTGCATTTTTTTTATTTGTAGGGTGTGGGGTTGACTTCCCTTCTGTCCCTGATCGTGCCCAAAGGAACCGACATCTACTTCTCGGCCGGCCAAATGTAATCCCACCCTCCTCGTCTCTCGACCACGACCCGCTCGGAAAACGAATAAGTAACAAAATTGTCTCTAACGGAACGAGCAGGTGGCTGTCGGTGGCAATGTACCAGTTCCTTCGTCTCACCCTGCGGTATTACGGAGGCGAGAAGGCCATGCTGGAGAGAGTGTCCTTGCAGGACCTCCCCCTGGGCGCACCTCCGTGTGGCTGCTGCTGCCGCTGCTTCTGCCCCTCCATCCGCGTCACCAGGTACGCTCCACGCACTGGGATCTGCCGCTTCCGTCATGCGGTGGAGTGTCTCGGTTCCCTCACTGAAAACGTAGCAGAATTTATTCAGTGTTGTCATCTGATTTCCTATGCAGAGTACCGCAGAGAGTAGGGTTTTCATCCAAATATCTTATCACTGTCGCAAATGTAATATTAAACCTCTTTTTTACTGTCGAGTTCTTAACATTGCCAATGACTTTAAAATTAATATGAATTTAGTGCTATGTGATACTTCCTGCTGTTTCTCTTTCGTTTCCTCAAATCGAACCAGATCCGTAATCAGGGTAGTTGTATTATTATAAACATAGAGAAGTAATGCACACAGGATTATAGCGAAATTTCTTCATTTTCTGAATGTTTGTACAGGTTGTTCCATTTGCCTTGAGACCATGGGAATGTTGATTTAAAGGAAAACTGTGTGAATAATCTTTTCAATTTTCATTTCAGATTGAAGATGAAATACTGTTAAATTGTTGAGCATGGATCCCTGGAGCCTTGGATACTGTACAGGGATAGCGGAACATTATTTTGAAAGTCACTCACTCGTGACTGAACAGAGATCTTTCAGAATAGAATTTGAAACTTGAGACTCTCTCAGTAAATCCGCTATTCTGCAGTACGTTGCCGAATTAAGGGAAGGGTGATCTGCGGCTGATAAGAAGCACTACCTCACACTATCAGTGTGAGTGCAACAACTGTTCACCACATGCTCCACAAATATCTAAACTCGTTTGTTTGTTCAGATTGTGCAGTTGTTGCATTCACACCTGTCTGGCTCGACACGGGGCGAATGGATTTCTTTGGGCTTATGGCGGCTATCGCCTCCACTGCTCGCACTGATTGTGTGCGGTTATGCTTCTTATCAGCCACAGATCCCACTTTCCTTAATAACGTACCGCAAAATAGTGGATTTACTGGGAGAGTCTCGTGTTTGAAATTCTCTTCTGAAAGTTCACTGTGCAGTCACTAATGAGTGACTTTCAAAAAATAATGTTCCACTATTCCTGTACAGGGCGGGCACAAAGTCCCTTTGCAGTGAAATTACAGCAATTCTCAGCACATTGTTTCATCCGTGTCCATGTTCTCTTTGGGTGGATTTTTGAACAGAGCACTATCCGATAATGCAGCTTTATTTCAGAGAAAATGCATTATAAATCCGGTAAATAAAGCTGCTTTATCGGATAGTGTTCTTTATTCAAAAATCCATCGCCCACTGAATGTGTTATTAAGATATTCTCGAACTGCGTGAGCATAATGTGCATAATTGAACAAAAAACATATCGTTAGAGAACAGTTTTTCATGCTAAGGGACTTTGTGTGCGATTTCTGATGTGATTGGACGAGGGTCTGATATGGCATGGCCACCTCGAAGTCCAGACTCGACAACTTGCGATAATTCACTTTGGGACATTGCGAAGGAGAACATTTCCGAACTGCGACTAACAAATGTTGAGGACCTAAAAACAGCCATCGGGGACTGCTTTTATGACATTCAGCCTTCAACGTGGAAGAAAATGTCTTAGAGAACATGGACACGGATGAAACAATTAGCTGAGAACGAAGGGCAACATACAACACATAATTGTTGTAATTTTACTGCAAAGGGACTTTGTGTCTACCCTGTACACTGTCCTAGGCTTCAGGGATCTATGTTCAACAACTTAGCAGTATTTTATCTTCAATCTGAAATGAAATTTGAAATTTTTTTTTACACAGTTTTCCTATAAATCAAAATTCTTTCTCGTGGTCGGAAGATAACGTCTAACGATAATAATGATCTCGTCATGGACGAAAGACCCTGTATTATGTGATATCAACTGACTTCATCGCGCACGAAGGATGACTGTCTTTTTTCGTTGTCGGCCAGGAAGGGGATCCTGTTCATGAAACTGCTGATCGTCCAGCTGCCCTTCAGCCAGGCCGTTCTTTACCTTCTCTCCTACACCCTCCTCTTCACGGGCCATTACAACAAATCCAAGGTATACAGAATATATTTGTGTTAAGTAGGAAGCATTTAGAGTAGCGTTGGACGACCACCAAATTAAGCTCGGAGGAGCTAGTGAACAAGTCTCGACCCGGGTGACAGAGGTAGAGAGCTGAACGGAACGTCAAATACCGTCCCTCCCCGTGACTTTGGAAGAAAAATGTATTCCGTCCTATTTCTCTACTTTCAGCCGTATATTTCCTCCTTATGGGTGCCTAATGTACCCCACAGAGGACTTTGGTCATGAAAGGCTACCAGATGCATCACGAGACTAGATGAAGCAGCGGCAGATCAAGAAGCAGGGGGGGGGGGGCGGAGGCTTAGGCAAGAGCGTGGTAGGAGCCAATGGCGCCTACCACACAGTCAAAATTCGCCCCGTTCCGTGCAGTGTTCTAAGCAGTGGACTAGGAAGGGGGGAGGAGGATGTAGTATATGCTAAAGAGTGTGAAAACTAGTTCGCAGGAAAAGCTGCTAACCCCCCTCCCCCTTCTCCGGGGGTTAATAGCTGGATGCAGACGGTGAGAAGCGATTTTGACCTCAGCCGGCTGCAAACAGTGCACAGCACTCTTCCCAGAATGTGTTTACAAGTATTATCACTTATATTTTATTCTTGAATTAATGAGCATTGGGCCAGGCAAAGGAAGGGTGAAGTCAGCTTCCATAAATCATCTCTAGCTTCATCTCTAGATTCGAGATATGTCTTATCTCGTTCCTTCGTGTTTGTCGCTGCATTTGGCCTTGCGAACAAGAAAAGAGTGAATATCCTCGATCAAGGGCGTCGATGAGACGATGATAAAAAATAAATCGTATTTTTGTCCATTCTGTATGGGGCATGATGTTAAACGGAAAACTCACGTCTATCGCATTCGTTCTGCACCGTGACGTCAGCTGCAGACTTGTTTACAGACCGGTGTCGCGACCCGTTTCATGGCTTTCATTGGACGCGTGATCCCCTTTCCTCCGGGCAGGTGTCCCTTTCGGACGGTTTCATCTACATCGGGGTCCTCCACGTGGCGTCCACGATGACCTGCATCTGGGGATTCGCCATGCTCCTCGGAGTCTCCAGGCAGCATCTGAGGCATCTCTCGTACACGGGGAAGTACCTCGTGCTCTGGATCATCCTCGTCCTCAAGTTCCAGGACGTGGCCTTCGCCGTCCTCGGCTCCTTCGGCGTCTTCCCCTGCTTCTTCCCCGTCTCCCCCACCGTATTCGCCAACCGTACGTCCTGTTCCCCGTCGCGGTCGATGGTCGGCGTTTTCGGACGTGAATGTTCGTATCGTACTCCGTTAGTGACGTGCAGCGCTTCTCTCAACCATTTGTAAATCTATCGACTGAGAATTTTGGCTTCCGAGCGTTCCATCCGATGATCCAAAAATTTCGTGCGAGCAAGGAGAAATTACAGAAAGAGGAAAGGCAGACGGTTTCGAATCGCTAAACCTCTATGTAACTATTCCCGAAACGAATCGGGAATGGAATCTTTCAGGCTTTTAATTTTTTTTTCAGCGTGTCTCTACTTTTATTTTATCTTTTTAAAATCCAGGCACGCTCGTAGAATCGATACGTTGGATGATATGAGATTTCAAGCTAATTAATATCAAGCTAATTAAGATATCAACCGATGATTTTGGGTTGCAACCATCAGGATGATGCTGGATGATTGGTCAGAATCTAAATGAGGATCGCGATGAGACTTACGAGGATCGAATAACGATAAAGGATCGAATAAAGGTAAACGATCGAAATAAAGAAAGGATGAAGAACGAACCCCCTCCCCCTCTTTGCAGTGATACTACAAGCCCTGATGCTGGGCGAGCTCCTCCTGCTATCGCTGATCGCAAGGTACTTGTACTTGAAACCCCCCATCCCGTTGGAAGCGGAAGATTCCCATTGCGCTCTCAGGCCGGAGATCTCGAGCGCCATGAACTACCGAGCCGTCTCCTCGGATCCGCTCAACCTGGACGATTCCTCGGGAGACCAGTCCAAGTTCCCTAGCTTCTCGTCGCCGTCCATCATCTGATCCCTCTGGAGCGAACCGCATGACCCAGGGGGTGGACTCGATCGGGTCCGACAACCGTGTTTCTCATCCGGCAACCGTGTTTCTTCGCCGGCCGAAGAAGGAATCGTCGGCTCCAGTGCAATTTCGGCGTCTCTTCGGTCTCCGTCCGGTCGTAGCGCTAGTTCGAAAACGTTCGGACCTCTGCTTATCTGATCCTGGCTCTTTTATTTGTGTGCGTGTATGTTTTTTAAGTCGATGGTCCCGGTGGGTAAATCGTTGGCCTCGTTTTCTTTTAAAATGGAGCGGAAGGGAAAGATATGATTTTGGCTTCCAACGGAATGCATGTCTTAACGCCCTGCACAAAGCGGGTGAGTTGCTTTCCGAGGTTTTTAACTCGAACAAGTTCCGGTGAAGAAAATTACACGGAGACTGCTTTTTAATTTGCGTGCATCCGGTAATTCTTTCGCCGCGTGTGTCTTCTGAGATTTTTCATTTTTTCTCCTTTCGTGTTTTTGAGTACAACATGAATATGTGTGATTGGGGACCAAAACCGAGTTTCGGTCCCTAAACCTAGTCCAAGCTGCTCCGTGTGTCATAAACGACTCATTCTATGAAATGAATTCCTTCGTCATCTGATTACCCTCGACATTTCCGGCTCGTCGGAAGGTCGGCTCGGCACATCGCACGCGTATCGGTGTACACGTGCACGCACCGCCAAGTCGGTCTGCCGTTTCGTGCGGTGCCAGCGTGACTGTCGGCTTCTTGTCTTGCGTCTTTTCCTAGGGTCCGTGAATCCGAAACTCATATCTTGAAATTAGAAATGTGACCCCTTGCTTCAGGACAGGCTGATATTATGCAAAAATGCCAGCTAATGCTGAGTCTCGCATCGACTTTCAGATGCATGTGTTTCCTAATGCGGCATTGCAATAGAAGCACGTGAGATACTAGATGTCATGCAATTTAATTCAATTTCATGCAATTTCATGCAATTTTATACGATTTTATGCGATTTCATGCAATTTTCAATTGTTTTTTTATGATTACTTTAAGGATGGAACATCTATTTCGTCTTGGTCATCACATTGACCAATGAAATTACACTGGGCATTAATGCTAATATATGTTAATTGAAGGGTCCTTTATCGGAGCGTGTTTCTCACTCGGTTTCGTAAAGTGCTTGGCATCACTTGAAACATTCGTGATTTATATGCATGTAACCTCATATATTACAGTCAGTATTACACAGGTGGTTGGCGTGTTAATGTCATGAATGTGCCATGCGATTAATCTCGGTAAATCGGTTGTGTGTGCATTGCATGATTTTTGCCGTATTAATAAAGGTCATGCTGCCCCGTTGAAATCTCAGAACCTGGGCTTTAAACAAAAATGTCGCACGGTGATCGTGCGCGATGCAATGACCTCATGAAAGTCAGAGAATCGTGCGGACCTACATCGATTCTTCCTTAAGTACGAAATAGAAACGAAAAGCCGAAGATCGTGTTGAGAAGCTGCGGGGAGAAACAATTTAAAAGTCGTGGAATCCTCTTCCGTTTAACGCTTCACTATTTAATTCACGGTGAAGTGGAGACGTAGCCGAAGACATTTCTGACAGAACACGAAAAACTTGACTTTGACCTGATGCAGGGGGAATCCCGAAAGCCTCGCTTCGGGCCCGAATTGAGGGGAGGGAGAGAATTTCCCCTGGAGGCGTCTGGGGGGAAGTGGAAAACATTTATTTGCCTTTCTTCCCTGTCTCTCCTCTCGAGAGTGCTTGTTTGCAAACGAAGTCCTCTCTGGCTGTGTCTTTTCTTTGTGCAGTTCGAGCTGCTTCGTCGTCGTGAATTCGCCGTGTCGGTAAGTTCCATCGACCATCATTAAATTTTTATTTAATGATGGTCGGAATCGTGAATTTTTATTTAATTTTGAATTTTGTGATTTTTGGAACTCGTACTGCTACGTTTCAATGGCACAGATAGGAAAATAACAACAAGGTTCAAAACCTTCACGAAGGCGTTCGGAATCTAGAAAGACCTGAGCATTTTCCTCAGTTCGTGTCGAAGTTTTCTGCCGCGGAGCTCATCTGCATACGGGCTAGGACTCTTGTAGAAACTGCCTGGAAAATCTTTTTGCATCCGGAAGGCGTCGACTGCATTCAAGTAGTCTGGAGCAAAGAGACAAAGAAGCAGGAAATGGAGACCCACTTTCCCCTCGGTTCACAGGTGCCAAATGGTAAAACGGGAACTAATCTGGTTTCATGCGAGGGGCGTTGAAAAAGTTTCCGGCCCGAGGCACTTCCAGTCGTAATGCGCCATTCTTACTTTTCTTATGAGAAGGCTTTGATGGTGACTGGCAAAATTTCATCTAATTTGTCTTTGATAGACAGCTTCTATGAATTTTTTTTCAAAGGATCTGCTGAAGGAGTATAAAAATAACAAATGCTATGGTGAATTTTCTAACCCTGATCTCCCAGCAGATGAAGGGAAAGCTTCCTCCTGACCCTTCTCTCTCCCTTCGTCCACACCAGAAAGTTTTCTTGCCTAGACGATGAAAGAATGTTGCAAAAGTAATCTCCCAGAGCATTGAAAATCTTGCATATAAAACTTGCGAAGACGTCCTCACCATCAAAGTTTTCTTAACAAATCGACTTGAAAAAAAAAAAAACAGAACTTCTTGGTGCAAACGTAACCTAATAAAACGGAAACAGATCGGCGGGCGCATCGCCCCGATCCCCTCGCATCCGAGCGAATCGGGGTCTGAATCGGGGCCTGAATCGGGGTCTGCCGAGCAGGTCTATGCACCGAACGGCGATTCAGACCACGACGCGTGCCTCGAAGAGGTGGGACGTGGGGCCTTAGAAGGGATCCCGATCGACGACCTCTTCTGGCCGATTGGGGACTTCAACGCGCGAGTTGGGAACGATGAAGCTACGTGGGGTTGTCGGACGTTTCGGACACGCCGAATGGATGACCGTTGCCAACGTCTTCAAACGCGAGGACATCTACAAATATACCTGGCGCAGGGGGTCTGGAAATGTGCCATACCTTAGAGTCACCGTTATAATTAGATTTTAGTGGGGTTTTGAAAAAAAATTTTTCCGACTCGTACACCTTTCCTATCTTAACAGCTCCGCTTTCTTAATGCCTTTTTCTATGTAACTTCTCGAGGTGAATTGCCGAGGTCATTTCTGGAAAAGTCATAAATTCGTTCTTCCATCGTCGAGGGAAGAAGATTCGCATTCATTGTCTCGCTTCTCTTTTTATCTCCTCCAGCGCTCGTCTAGACAGAAATCCCTCGAGGGAGAAATTGCGGCGAGGATTCATTTCCGAATGTAGTCGTTCTTTCGACGTCGAGAGAAAAGGTGGAAAGTCTGCCGGCCCGCATTCTCTGGTCCCTTTTTAGAGGAACTCCTTTCCTGAAAAAGAGGGAGGCCGCTTAGAATTTCTGTCCCGTCCGCTTGTCATGTCTGACGATAGCTAAATAAATGTTGTATTACCACCGTGAAAACAGGTAGGCTTTGATAAGAAACGGGTCAAGTTCGTTTTTGGACGACTTCGTACCAAAAACAGAATTTTCATCAGGAAAGACACGAGGAACCGTCAGCCTTCCTGGATCTCGCCCTCAAGGCGCATGCGCGTCGTTCAGCTCGGGTTGGGGTGTCGAGTCACCAGCTGGAGGTCTTAGTTTCCTTCCAGTCGTTGTAACTGACGAATCCATTGCTGACAATTGAAAAGAGGGAGAGAGAAGAGGGCAGCGGAGACAGAGTTGCTAGCTGAAGCGCGCAATACCATATCTCGCAGTGTTGCACGCGGTACTCCCAACCTAATGAAAGGAGGTCCACCACCGCACAGGGTTTGACCAATTTCTTCATTCTTCGGCCTTTCAAATGTGGAGATGAATATCTCGTGGGACTAATGCGGATCCTCTGCAGGTCGCAGCACGTGACGAGGATTTTCCTTATCATTTGAGGGGTCACACATCGGTTTGGTGTCGGGGTCAGACGAACGAACGACGAAAATCTGAGCGACCCCGCTTTGAACGATAGATTTGGCCCTTCGTATGTTCGCAACTGTCAGGTGTCGCATCGCAGGTAAAAACTAATACATCGAGAACTCGAATCACAGTTCTTATTCTGTTGGTCGTGTTCATTATATATGTTTTGCAGGACTTCACTAGAGTGAAGTACGAAAGCAAAAGTAGCAGATTGCTACGGCATAGACACGAAAAGATGAGAACTATTTCTATGGACCCAGATCGGCACTACTACGTTTTGGAATTAGGCTTGGAATCTGGAATTGGACCTCGAAAATTTTTTCTTCCTGTGGACATGATCGATTTGGAATAAGAATCCCATCTAAGTAGGGTGACGACATTATCTTGATTTTACGGCGACCGTCCGTTTTGGGGACGTTGCCCTACTCAGAAAACTATCCCGAGTTCTTTCCAGCGTTTCTCACGTCGAGCAAACAGCTCATCGACCCTTTGTCGATTGGAAACGAAGGGAAAATGTCCTGGTTTCCTTCAAAAACACCTGGTCATCGTAACCGACGTTATTTCTACTTGCGGACACGAGTCTGACCATGTACCTGCAGATACGGGAGAACCAGCGAACATCGCATCAGGAAACTGACGGGAAAGAACGAAAGCGACCCATCCCAGGCAGTCCACCTCCTTCGGCCCAGCGGCGCGAGCGGGAACTCGGAGGAACCATCAGAAATCCATGCGATCCACCGGCACGGTCCAGAAACCAAGCCGGCGGGGGTGAGCCGACTCCGCGAGGAGTGGCAGCACTCTGGGGCGAAAGGTTTCATTGCGCGCGGCCCGGCAAGGTTGTCCTAACTGTGATACGAGGCGAAGTCAAAGAGTCGAACAGCATTAAGGAGTTGATCCAAGCTTTGTACCGGGTGTTGCACATAGATAGCCTCCCCCCCCCTTTCACAGCTCAAGCTATAAGAGCTAGGAAAAAAACTCGTATATAATGAGAAAGAGCATTCATTTTCGAATCGAAACATTTAATTCTAGTGATTCAGAGAGACAGGCACCTTGCCTGTCTCTCTGACAGCTTTAAGATGAAAAGATGGTAAGACGAAAAGAGACACTCAAAGAGTTCCGTGTCACATTTCTTGTCCTTCAACACCCTGGCGGCGTTGCTTCGCTTCTCGGAAGAATCCATGCTGCTTGCCCTCCGCGAGAGCCTCAACTCGATCTTGAAGGATAATCCCGACGTTCTCGGCCGCATTCAGATCAGGAGAGTTTCCCGGCGGTTCCGCATTTCCGAAGAAATCAATCCCTGAGTCTTTCAGCTTTTGCTATGTGGTTAGAGCATTGGAAAAAAAAACCTAATCAGGCAGAGGCTAAACGTTTAGGGTGGATTTTTAAAGAGAACTATCCGATAATGCTGCTTTATTTACCGGATTTATAATGCATTTTCTCTGAAGAGAAAATTTCTGAGAAAAAAATATTTATGAGAAAATGGATTATAAATCCGGTAAATAAAGCAGCATTATCGGATAGTACTCTGTTCAAAAATCCACAATTAATCTTTTTCGAAACCCATGAACGGGCAACGAATTCAGCTCTGGCATCTCGAAACGTAATAGCACGGATGTGATCAATGAATTTCAGTTCTTCACCATCATACGACACCAGAAAAAAAAAACGGGATTGAAAAGAATCAAAATGAAACAAGGATTCCAATATATATATATATATATTTAAATGTCTACCTCTTATAGTTTAGGCTTCAGAGTGGGGCTCTCTATGTGCAACACCCGGTAGAATAAGATCCAGGACACGAAGAAGAGCTTCTTCTGTTCGATGGTTCCTCCCGAGGCCGAATTGATTGGGATGCAAGGTCGGATCCAGTCGGGTTCACAAGTTGGTAATTAACCGGTCTTCCCGTCGATTTGGACAGGAGAAAGGTTATCGACCGATGGTTTTCTGCGCTCTCTGCCAGACTTGTGCCCTGGGACGACTTTGGTCATCTTCCATTCTTGTGGGATAACCCCACTATTTCGACATCACGTGAAGCATATAAAGGAGCGATAACCGAAGTCGTTCCAAGTGTCTCGAGTGGCACGTCGTGCCCGCAAAATCTTGAAGGTTTCAAACTGGCCAGTGCGAGGTTGAGCCTCGGCAGGGCGGCTGGTCTCATCGTGGAGTCGTTGCACGCTCGTGTGGATGGAAATGAATTTTGAGATGTCTCATTTTCTGGCGATTTGGGCGATCTTTTGAAACAAAGAAAGTAGTCGAGATACTCCGGCGATGGAGATCTAGAGCAGTGGTTCCCAATCTTTTTATTTGCGGCACACATAAGGACACTCGAACTTTCCACGGTACACTTAACCTTTACTGGCAGCACACCGTTTGGGAAACA